GGGGGGGTGCTCTCTCTCCTCTGAAGCCGGCTTGCTGTCCTGGGGGCTGCCTGGGTGTAGGGATGGCAGCATGGAGGCTGCAGAGAAAGGGACGGGGTGTAGAGGAGGATAAGCTCTTTACTTCCGTCCCTGACATGAGACCTGCAGCTCGTGATGACTCGGGTCTTACATGTCCTCCACTCGGTCCAGTGATGGCATTTCAAGGTGGGAATAACCACAAGCTCCAATGGGCAATAGCCTTGCCCACTTTCCTGAAATATGAGCCAGATGCCACGTTGGGGAGCCATGTTCATACAAATCACAGGTGATATATCAAAGAACCACATGTGGCTCCTGAGCCACTGAGTGAGTATCACTGCTCTAGGATGTCTGACCTATCCGAAACCATGTCCAGAGGTGTGAAATCCTTGAGAGAACTTAGTTTATTTGATCCTCACAACTGGCTAACTGCAAAAGACAACCATACTTCGGTTGTTATCAGATTTGGTCTTCGGCTCTCTCAAACCACAGGTTTTTTAAATTGTGACTTATAAATATGTGTTTTATCACAGTCTTGAGACTTTTCAGAATAACTGGTTAGAATTATACTTTTATCTAATAACAGTTAACATTGATCAAACCTTGGCAATGCTGGCAAGCCGCGGGCAAAAGGTGTGGTATTAAATTTCTTAGCATTAACATATATCAAAGAACATGGCAAAACTGACAAAACATATGTGGACCATGCCACACTTTCTGTTGCTGTTATCCTGAATAATTTGCCATGCTGTTTCAGAAATCTATTACTTGGCATGAGGAGAGATTGCTGTTACTACTGAATAATTTCTATAAAGACCAAGTAATAGTTGCCCCTAGCCTGTACATTCTTGTCTCATTGCTTGAAGAAGAAGAGGAGGAATTGCTTCATTGCTTGAAGAAGAAGAGGAGGAGGAGGAGGAGATTGGATTTATACCCCGTCCTTCACTACCCAAAGGAGTCTTTCAATCTCCTTTCCCTTCCCCTTCCCACAACAGACACCCTGTGCAGAAGGTGGGGCTGAGAGATCTTTTTTGAGAACTGCTTGTGAGAGAACAGCTCTGAAAGAACTTGTGACTGACCCAAGGTCACACCAGCATCTGCATGTGAGGAGTGGGGAATCAAAGCCGGTTCTCCCAGGTTAGAGTCCGCACTCCTAACCACTACACCAAGCTGGCTCTGTCGTGCAGTATTCTTTAACATTAATACAATTAATTAGTTAATGGATATTCCTGACATTAAATGCATTTGCTAGAATTTGAAAAGAGTAAATACTGCCCAAGCTAGTGTTTGGTTTTTCCATTGACTTCCACCAGTACAGTTTCAGCTTCATGCCCAATAGAAGTTTGTATTTATCATTGTTTACATGGTTTCATGCTTCAATGTAACATTGTTTATTTAAAAAACAAAATGATTTTGTCTTTTTATTTCTGCCAATGCAGGATGCTGTCATGTTGGCAGGTGACGAGCAAGCTTGGAAAGAAGTCAAGGAAGCTATAAATAAAATGACAACTCCCAAGTCACAACAAGGTATCCTTTTCATGCCACAATAATGAACCAAAGTAAATGGACTTCCTTTTGAATCAGGAACATATAAAGACCCTCCTGCTCATTGACATTTCTAGGTTATGCAAACTTTTTGTACCATAAATATTCTTCTCTGCCTGTCCATCCATCCTCTTTCTATCACTTCCTCTATCAGTAATTGTTAGACAGCATTTAGAGACCATTTTTCCCTCTCAAGATAAGATGTGACACGGCTCTACATGAGATTGCCCTTGAAGACAATTCTGAAATTCCACTAGTGAAAAATTGTACAGTTTATTGTATTTATCCAAATGTCCAGGATAGGGGCTTCCCCCCCCCCCCCGTATCTCTGGGAATTTGCCAACCTGGAGCTGGTAACCCTAGTCAGGCCTGGTCCCAATAAGTCCTCCCTCAAAGGCCAAAACTGCCCTGGAAAGGGCCCCTTCCCTTCCCTTCCCTTTTACTGGCAGAACCAACCTTAGAATGCTACAGTTGCCTTAGCAACAGCCACTGAGGGAGTCCATTGCTTAAAGCTACAGGCTCTGCTTTGATCATTTTCAGCTTTAAAAAAAAATGAATTTTTTTTTAGGGGGGGTTCATATTTTTCTGCATACCTGGAACCTTTTTGAGGTTTGTAGAAAGATCAGTCTTACCTGTTCAGAGCTCCAGTCATCAGATTTGAGTATTTTTGTTTCAAGATTTTTTCTGTATAGCGTCCATGTGGCCCCAATCTGCGGATGAGGTATCCACAGATGGGGACCATAGGTTACACCAATTTTGTGATCACTTTGTTGGCCGCCAGTCAGTTTCAGGTTCAAGTTAAGGTGCTAGCTATAATGAATAAAGCTCTTCATGCCCTCTTGCCCACATTTCTAAAACAGATCTAACTTTCCTGTTATACTTGGCTGTGTCAGCTCCATTAATCTAAACAGGATCCTTTGAAGATCCCCTCCTGCAGACAAGTAAAATCTGGCACCGCTTGTGTTAGGCCTTTGAAGTTGTGGTGCCTATGCGGTAGAACAGTTAGGGATGCCAGCCTCCAGGTTGGACCTGGGACTCCCTGGGAATTACAGCTCATCTCCAGACTAGAGAGATCAGTTTTCCTGGAGAAAATGCCTGCGGAGTCTTGTGAGCAAAAATTCTACTTCGTGAGTTACTGGCATTAAAGTTGTGAGGGAGCGATTTGGCTACTGCATGAATTAGTTTGCTCTGGAGCCCTCTTTCCTGAGCTAAGACAAAAATGTGTGAGCTGGAAGCTAAAAAAAATGTGAGCTAGTTCATACTAACTCAACTTAGAGGGAACACTGTTTGGAGGGTGTACTCCCTGGTATCACACCCCTGTGCTCCCTCACCAAACCCCAACCTCCCTTGGTTCCATCCCCAAATCTCCAGGAGTGTCCCAACTTGGAGCTGGCTACTCTACTCCCCTGACCCGCCTCCAGTGGCCAGCTGAGACCTGGCAACCCTAAAGAGCTTACTAGAAGAAGTTAGGAAAGCTGTCATGCTCCTCTCCTAAATAGAAGTTTTTAGATGGGACTTTGTGTAAATTGGATGCTGCTTTTAATTAGGGTTGCCAATTCTGGTTTGGGAAATTCCTGGAGATTTGGGTGTGAAGTCTGGGGTGGGTGAGGTTTGAAGACAAGAGGGATCGCAGCAGGATATAATGCCATAGAATCTAACCTCCAAAGCAGCCAGAGAATCTTATCTTTGTAGTCTGGAGATCAGCTGTGTATTTCCAGAGATTTCCAGGCCTCACCTAGAAGCTGGCAACCAGTGTTCCCTCTAAGCTGAGTTAGTGTGAGCTAGCTCAGTTTTTTGGTCTCTGGCTCACTCATTTTTTTTTCTTAGCTCAGGAAGGATGGCTCCAGAGCAAACTAATTTATACAGTAGCCAAATCGCTCCCTCACAGCTTAAATGCCAGAAGCTCACAAAGTAGAATTTTTGCTCACAGGACTCCACAGCTTAGAGGGAGCATTGCTGGCAACCCTAATTGTGGTACCTGTCCAAGGATTTAAACTAAGAAACCATGTGGCTCACTTCAGAAGAAATCAAATTTTCTTTCCTTTTTCTATTTAAAATATTTATATACCACCAATATGTAAGTAGTTCTTACTGTCCTCAAGACCTATGATATTTTTCAGCTGCTCCCTTACTTATTCACCACTTCTTTTCTCGACTCAATGTGATGTGTGTCTTTGTATTCTTTAAACTCTTCTGCACTAAAATTCTGGCTTTTCAGCCTATTATTTACTTACTGTTCTAATCTACCCTACTGTTGCCTTCCGTGCCTCTTAACATCGTAGGACCTCTTCCTACCCAGCTTTCCAGTCTGGACACTTTCTCCTTACTTAAAAATTAAAGTTCCCTCACAGGAGCTGCAAAGTATCATTGAGAGTGTACTTTTCTTGAGCATTGCAAACATTGTGAACATTATACAACTTTACAGCAATTCAAGCCAACAATGTCAAGAATTCACTGCTACCAACACAAAAATCCCTTAGGTTACAGTTTAGATGACAAATTTATTTTGTGCTCTTAAAGTGTCTGAGTGCATCATGCTATTTTTTTTTAATTCATCCAAAGTATTATATCATGAACGTGCATACCAGTCTCAACATGGCCCTGTCTGTGAATTCTGAAAACCAGAGACTGGAAAACAGATTAGACATGAACTGAAAGATAAAACGCCTGAGAAAAACCTCGAGTTTTGCAGAAAAATCTGAAGTCTAAAAATAAATACACTGGGGAGGAAGTAAAAATCCTAATAATAAAAACAGCACCTATACCTTTAAGAAATGAATGAGATCTCAGTGGCTATTGTGGGGGTTATTTTGTTGTTGTTCAGTCGCACAGTCGAGTCCGACTCTTCGCGACCCCATGGACCAGCTCCCGCCAGGCTTTCCTGTCTTCCGCCGTCCTCTGAAGTTTGCTCAATTTCATGTTCGTTGCATCTATGACACTGTCTAACCATCTCATCCTTTGCCGTCCCTGTCTTCTTTGACCTTCAATCTTTCCCAGCATCAGGGTCTTCTCCAGTGAGTGCTCCCTTCTCATTTGGTGGCCAAAGTATTTGAGCTTCAGTTTCATTATCTGGCCTTCCAGGGAACAGTCAGGGTTGATTTCTTTTAGGATTAACTTATTTGATCTTCTTGCAGTCCAAGGGACTCTCAAGAGCCTTCTCCAGCACCATAGTCCAAAAGAATCTATTCTTCGGTGGGGGTTATTAGGCAACCACTATACTGCAAGCCTTCAAACTTTGGTTTCTTTCAGTAAAAGGTAGAGGAAAGGCCCTTACCAGGGCTATTTAAGTTTCCCCTGCCCCATTCCCCTACCTTCTGCCCTGGAGGGAGGACTCATTGAGGCCAGACCCAGCAGCAACCACCAGGTAGCTTGCTACTGTGCAGTTTTGTGCAACTAACCCATGTGCAGCAGTGGTTATGACTTGATGTGACACAACTTCCCTGGGCCCTGTAGCAGCCTCCATACCACTTGTACAACTTGGCCTGGCCCAGTAGCAGCAACCATACAACTAACCTGAGTGACTTGCTACCCCATGACTTCAGCAACTTAGCCAAACTTTTCCAAGGGAGAGGCTGCCATGGGAAGGGGAGGAGGGAAAGCAGAGAGCCAGTGTGGTAGCGTTAGGGATGGTCACAAACCGCATTTTTGCAGTTTGGTTCATGATTCGTGGCTGAACCACGAACCCATGCAAATGGGGAGGTTGGTTCCTGAACCAGTTCATATTGGTTCATGCACCATTTAAAACCCTGGCTTTCTGCTCCCCACTGCTTTTTGCGGGGAGCAGAAAGCAGGGGGCCATTTAAACAAAACAGGTGAGTGACAGAGAGCTCCTTGCTGATCAGGTGTTTGGTTTCATTTGCTGGGAGCCATTTAAACCACTGCTTCTGCTTTCTGCTCCCCACAAAAAGCTGTCGGGAGCAGAAAGTAGGGATTTAAATGACTCCCAGCCATTTCACTCCCTGCATGCTGCCGCATTTTAACCCACTTTCAGCTGTTTTTGGGGAAGAGCAGAAAGCAGGGGTTTAAACCCTGTCTTTCTGCTCTTCACAAACAACCATGAATTGCATTAAAATTCATGAAAGTTCATGGCTGTTCTTCAGTTTGCAAACATTGCTTCGCAAACCACGAACCGGCCAAAACTCATGATGAACTTTAGTTCCCTAGCATAGTGGTCAGACCCAGATTCAAATTCCATTCTGCCACTCTGCCATTGAAGCTTGCTAAGTTACCCAGTCTCTTTCAGTTATAGGGTTTTTGTGAGGATAAAATGAAGGACGTGAGAATGATGTAAGCTGCTTCCGGTCTCCATTGGGGAGAAAAGCGCAATATAAATGAAATAAATACATTATAAATAAAGCTGGAGATGAGAGAGTCAGATAAAAGAAAAATTGTTTGGTGAGTGGGAAGGAGACACAAGGAGAGAAGATGCGGAGTCTTCCAGGTGGAAAGGAAGAGGACATAGTATAGAAGGAGTTATAGGGAAAAATGAAGGAGATGAACCCTCCAAGTCTTTGCAGGTTCCCTCTTGTTTACCTTAAATTTGCAAAGAAGATAATGGTAAAACAAACACAAATTGCCAGTCACCAAAGTCGGTATCACAATATATATTTTCTGAGTACATTCTTCTTCTTCTTCATTTATTTATTTATCCTTGGATTTATATCCCGCCCTATCATTCTCGTTATGATAGAGAAGAATTTTGTGTTAACTATGTGTGAAGATTAAAGGAGTAATACATGGTTTGCATGCTGGGATTTTATGCATAAATCTGATATATGGTAGGATACAGTATGGAACAATGGCAGAAACAACCATGGTCTTGGATAGCTTTTCTCCTGGAATGTATTGTAATGTCACTGGAGGTAAAGTTTTAATTAGTGTTTGAGGTTTTTTTCCTCCAGAGCTGCTAACTCTTGAGACTTCAGTGTAGGTATTTAGAAATGCAGAAATGGAAAACAATTACTCGGTGATTGCTCAACAAGTAAGAAACGGAAAAATATCACTGGTACAATTCAGTTGCTGACTGCTTATCTTCTGTTCTAGGGAGGTATAATTGCTCATAGCAGTTTATAGAACTACGTCTTCCTAAATGAATCTGATAAAGATCTCCTGAATGGTTTACTTTGTATCTGATTCATGTGGACATTAAGACCCTTTTTTGTCTCACATGCTAATACCAAAGGAGCTTTTCAAAGATTTAATAACTGAATGTTAGCTGTGTCTTTTATCACATAGATCACTAATCTAACACCTTTTATCTATGAAACTCAGAGCAGTTTTTCTCAGTCTTGGTCAATTAGAGTAGGATAAAACTCCTTTCCTGAAAACCGTTAATATTAAAGAAAAGAAAATTGGGTATCCATGCATTGGGTTTTAATTTATCAACATGAGAAGGTTTATTAGATGGTAAATGTAAAAAACTTATATTTTCTGAAGCTGAAATAGTGAATGAGTTACCAGAGCATTATATGTTAATATAATTTTGGCACAAGTGTTTGCTTTTGTTTGACAATTACAGTGAAGAATAATCCTTAATCAAAGTGAACAACAGAATGGAAGCAGGCTCTGGTGAAATACCAGACATTGTTAAAGAACACCAGTACTCTTCTCCCAGACACAAATATCTACCAGCTGAAACTACTTGACCTTGCCATGGATGCCTGCATAAACCTTAGTCTTTTGGAGGAAGCTTTGCTTTATGGCAACAGAACTTTGGAGCCCTACAGGTGAGAGCTGGAGTTACAGTGACGTTTTATAAGATTCAGTTTTGTTCCATGGATAATCAGTATTGGAGACAACCACTGCTGTGGAGAATGTGGCTGAAAAACAGAAAGGGCAGAAATCCTTTGCACATGTACAGAACGTGACAGGTGTTTGCATGTTTGCAGAGTACTGTATTGTGCATGGAATGAATCTGCTCCCCTTAGTTAGAACAGAGTGATTGCAGCCTGGAGTGCTGTGCTACCCCCTGGCCAGCCATATCTTGAGATTGGAATTCCTTAAGGCTATGCCTGCTATGGCAATAGAAGAGGGAACGGAATGAGGTCTCTGTGATTTACACTTGCTGGACATGTTCTGCTGCCGCCAAACCTTCTAATTAGTAGTACAATCTGTCTCTACAATCAGCACTATTCTTCTGAATGAGGCTCGCACAACATGTGGCCTCTGGACAAACAGTAACCTCCTTCCAAGAAGTGGGACAGCCATACGCTGTGTAGCACATTCTTCGACACGTATTGGGGTATGTGATCATACTATGTATGAAATATACTTTCCTGGAGAGCTGTGATTCCTTTTTCTTCAGATCCCCATTTTTCAAACACGTCTATGTTCCCAGGCATATTTGCGAATCCGTCAGCTTGCCTGCCTATCTGAGCAGTACCATTTTGTGTTTTTTGACCTCCTTGTGTTATCATCTGTTTTTAACCTAATGTCTAATTAGCTTTGATTGATATGGTTTGTACAAGAGAAAAGCTGCTTCCTTTGATGCAGGTAGTAACTGTGTGGTACAGCGATGAGATAGAAGGGCCAGGATGATCAAAGGGTGATTGCAGCTTTGTGCTTTTTCCCACTGTAGATCTCTTCTTTTGTTAATACTGATGTATAATGTTGAAGAAAATAATGACAACGGGCAACCTTTGAATTAGTATATTCAAATGCCACTACTGGCCTAGCTATTCTTTTCACTTATTTGCTTGGGTAAAGGCAGAGCTTCAGTTCTCCCATTATGGGAAACCATGGTTTAATTCAAGTCAATAGGATTGGTATGATTGTCCAAATGCAGGCCAGGCTTATTTAAGGTCTGTCAAACAAGAATGTAAAGTCAGGATTTGAGTTGGTTTATAAACTACAGTTGATCTTAATTATAGTTTGCAGACATCCTGGCATAAACCTGGTTTAATCTTGGCTTGTTCTCTGCCACGATCCTCTCAGGCAATAGAGAGAAAGAAATGAAACCAATATTTGCTGATTTAAGTGGTATAGTAATAACAACAATAATAATCCTATGGCGATGTGTGTACTATAGCCAGAAGAGCCAAAGATTGTCTGGCAGCTTTAAGTTCTAGCCCTTTTAGCATTATGCACCACTAAAGTGGTGAGCTAGACTTGGGGGGGGGGCTGAGAGGGTTCTGAAAGAGCTGTGACTGACCCAAGGTAAGCCAGCTGGCTTCAGGTGGAGGAGGGCACAATCGAACCCAGTCCTTCAGATTAGAGTCCGTTGCTCTTAACAACACACTGGCTCTTGATTCAAGTGGTGATGGTCTATAAACTGAATCCTGGTTTCCACAAACTAACCACACTAAAAATAAGCCATGGTTTTATATTATGTCTGAATGGAGGCAATCAGTTAGGTCTTGGTGTGTTAAATGGTATTCAACTAGGATGACTGCAATAGTGATTGCTAGATAGAAATTCAAGAACTATGAGATTGGTCACTGAATTTGAACAGATGTGCTTACATTTTGATTACAGTACAATGTAGAAGGTTTCTAAGGTAGTTTTGCCTGAATAATGAATTCTAGTTTTAAAAATGTTGGTGTAAACATTTGACTATGGATACTTTTGCTCTAGAATCATGTCAATGTTTTTGAGATAGTAGGTGATTTCTCCCCTTCTTTTTCTGGTGATGTATGAAAATGACTCTTCTTGTAAGACCTAATGTTGCCATGCCCTGGAAATCTTTGAAAAATTAACCGTGGCCTTGAATAAGCCCCAATAAAAGTTGGGCAGAATTGTGTTTAATGAAATACTGTGGTGACCCACCTACTCTCACTTCTTGGCAATGCTCTTGTAAAAAAAACAAAACACCAGCAATCAAAAGGTGTCATCAGAGTCGTATTGTTCTGCTCTCTTCTCATCTGTCTTTATCCTTCATCAAGAATCACAAAATCAGTTTCATTGTGTGGGAAATAAGCTTAGTAGTATGTCCTTGGGGAGGGAAAGGGTAGTAGGCAAGCTCCTTGCAAAGCAAGACACTGACTGAGTGTTGTTGTTGTTGTCACCTCTGGTGTGCTATTACTGCTCCTGACCATGCTGCCTTGTGTGCAGTCTCTTGTTATGCATTTTAAGAACATAAGAGACGCCAATGTTGGATCAAGCCAAAGACCCATCCAGTCCAATACTCTGTCACACAGTGGCCAGAAATACCAGTGCCATCAGGAGGTCCACCAGTGGGGCCAGGACATTAGAAGCCCTCCCACTGTTGACCCCCCCCAAGCACCAAGAAGGCAGAGCATCACTTGCCCCAGAGTCCCTATCTATACCTTGTGGCTAATAGCCACTGATGGACCTCTGCTCCATATGCTTATCTAATTCCCTTTTGAAGCCGTCCATGCTTGTAGCCGCCGCCACTTCCTGTGGCAGTGAATTCCATGTGTTAATCACTCTTTGGGTGAAGAAGTACTTCCTTTTATCCATTCTAACCCGACCGCACAGCAATTTCATGGAGTGCCCACGAGTTCTTGTATTGTGAGAAAGGGAGAAAAGTACCTCTTTCTCTTTTCTCACAATTTTAGTTCATTAACTATTCTAGGAAGCACATCAAGACTATTAATGGCCTCAGTAAATAACCTTCCTCCTCCTGAAAATAATCTGCTGGCAAACTACCTTATAGTTTGATAGTTTGATAATCTGCTGGCAAACTACCTTATAGTTTGAATGTCCTCATGGTAACAATGGGAAATGTTGAGACCAAAAATGCTCCTGCAACTGCTATGGTTAAAAAACCAAAATCCTTGCTAATTAGTCAATGCAGAACAGAAAAACAAATATGTAAGCAAAACTAAATCTTTGTATTAACATGAAATTAGTTATTGCCACTACAGCAAAATACCAGATAGTGAACTGTCTTGGTGTTTGAAGTAATTTCCATGTGTACTTGGTAAGAGACTGCAGTGTTTGAGGGGAAGAGGCTTCCACCCACGGACATTCTTCTATGTTCACTTTCCAATTCACCTTCCTTTTATAATTTACTTCCATTATTTACTGTTTCTGTTGAGCTGCCTTCCTTTCACGCTTTAACATGCAAACACTGAGCCTGAGGCTAACAATGCTGCATATATTGTATAGTGGAAAGACTGCAGCAGCAGCAGAAAACAATTATAATTTTATCAATCATTTTAATATGCCTTCCCTTGGTTGTTTAGTGATGTGTGACATAGTTTTCAAGGTACCCATTACAACCAGGTTGATTTCCTCCTTCCCTTTCGCCTCCCTTCTATGTATGCACAAATGTCACGTACTTTGATCGAATGTTGCTGGCATGGGAAAGCTGGCCCCTTTTGTACCTTGAAGAAGTTGCTCTTAGTCTCGCCAGGTGTAAAAGCATTTCCTGAGGAGAGACATTTTCAGTCCGAATTTGCTTCTTTTTACCTTCGAGCCATCACTACAAGCCTTGACGCACCTGACAAAAAATCTTCAGTTTCTCATTACAAGAAGTTGCGCCTGAAGCAGCAGGATATCAAATCCTAGGAAATCTGTTGGGGTGCATTGAATTTCTCCAGTTGAATCAATCTGCTGCTTGACTGCTCCTGCAGTTCCATTACAGCTATCTATTTTCCTTTCCTCAGCTGTGGGGGGAAATATTGTTATCTTCAGGGAATCACCTGAAAAACTGAGTTATCCATACAAATAGAACCTGATGTGATCCACCTTTAAAAGGGTCTGAGAAACTGGTCTAAAAACATTTTAATTTCAGGGACTGTTTGCTGTATGTGTGTGTGTGTTTCCATTATGTGATCAGCAGGGTTGACATCCACTGCTGAGTGCTAAGTGCCATTTTTGAACACATGTTGTCATTGCAATAGTTGCGAGGTTTTCAGTTAACCATGCTATGTAGGCAAGCCCAGTTATTTATTTAAATAACATGTTAAACTGATCAGTCTAGCTTATCTAATGCCTTCTTTTGTGCTGAAGATTTAGAGTGTATTTCGAAAGGATCTGCATGCATAAATATGTCTTAATTTCTAAAACAAAATATTACTAATTTAAAAATAGCAGAATCCAACTCTAAAAGGAGTATTCGGCATGCTTAAAGCTATCTTATGAGAGTGCTATATAGAACTCAGAGCATCATCATAAAAAAAAAAACACCTGACCTTCTCTATGATCATAAGAGCATAAGTAAAGCTGTGCTGGTTCACATCAAAGATCTGCCTCATACAGCATCCCATTTCTCACAATGACCCAGCCAGTTATTTCCAGTCCACAACATCCCATGAAAATAGCTATTAGCCTTGTGACTTTAGTAAACCTTAGAATTTGGAGGTTTTGTTTAGCTATATGGCTAAAGCTGTTCATAGACCTATTGTTCATTCATTTCTTTGGTCCTGTTTTACCCCAATTCTTAACATTTTGGATTACCCTAATTCTTCTGGTTTTCCCTTTCTAGCTCTCCAATACAGTACCCACGTCAGAACCTCTGTTATCAGGGAGAGTGGCTGAGGACCACCTGAGTCTGACAGAGGAGACAATGTGAAGTTCTAGGGTCAATTGACAATTGAAAGTAACACCGTAACCAGTCTGAGTGGCACAGATCAAAGGGTTCTTGAGAGAACTCAAGTGTGGTGGGAGCGGACTGTTGATCTAAGAAAAGTTTGAACACGTTATTACAATCTGCCTCCTTACCTGAGTGGTCAAAAGTAACAAATATAACACTGATTTTTAAAAAGGAATCCATAAGGAGCCAAGAAATTAGAGGCCAGGTAGCTCTGTAACCTATTGTTAA